TACATTCAATACGTGAAGGTGTTACGAGATCCAACAATCAGACATTTTTTTATGAAGTTGAAACCGAAATATCGAGTGAAATACTTGCGATCTTTTATGGACGTCTGAATATTTGAGTTATTGATGAACTTTAATTTCTATTGTTCTATGTTGTGTTTATGTTATGCAGACTTTTTTAATCTCCTTCGTGGATGTTTTGGACAATTCACATTTTTATGTGGTTGTTCTTTCTGTGTGGCCAATTTTATTATATATTGTTTTTATTTTGCCCAAAGTTCATGTGTTCTACTTATTTTGCATAGCATACTTTTGTTGTTATTACTAAAGTTAATTCATTTTCCTTTTTATTATTTTGTAGTATGGATGAAGAATATATCCACCACATACGCACAGTCGCATTTACCCTTACCTTGTTGTATTATTACTCTCTCAAACACGTTGACCGAAACCCATGTATGACTTGTATGAAAGTAGGAGACAGATGGGTTGGTGAGTTATTACGGGGTCATCCAACACGGTTCTTTAATATGTTCCGCACTCCAACAAGGTTCTTTAATATGTTCCGTATGACACAGGAAATATTTCATGATCTTCTAAATGAACTCCGGATCAATCATGGGTTTCACGGCTCTACAAGTACAACCCCAACGGAAGTGCTTGCAATAACTCTATACATCTTATCTCAAAATGAATCAATAAGAGGGGCTATGGAGCGTTTCCAACATTCATCTGAAACCATCAGCCGATATTTCTTAGTCGGTTTGAACTCTCTTGTGAGTTTGGCCCATAAGGTAGTGAAGCCCGAGGATCCAACGTTCCATTCAATTCCTTCACAAATTACAAATGACCCTCGATACATGTCATTTTTTAAGGTTTGCCTTTTACCATTACATTTATCTTTCTACTTTTATTACATTACAGTTTAAAAAACTCTCTAGCTGTAACTCCAGGATTGTATTGGAGCTATTGATGGGACACACGTCGATGCACGATTGTCTAGTGAAGAAAAAGTTGCGTTCATCGGTCGATGCGGCGCCCCAACACAAAATGTTATGGCCGTATGTGATTTCAATATGCGCTTTACTTTTGTCATGGCTGGATGGGAAGGAAGTGCTCAAGATAGTCGTGTTTTCAAGTTCGCTACCATAAACTTCATACATGGATTTCCGTACCCACCTCTGAGTAAATACTATTTGGTTGATGCTGGATATCCATTGCAAAGGGGATATCTAAAGCCCTACCCAGATACGAAGTACCACATTCCGGATTTTGAAAGATCTAGTGGTGTCGCACGAGGCAAAAAAGAGGCTTTTAACAAAAGACACTCTTCATTGCGCGGCGTAATTGAAAGAGCATTCGGAGTGTGGAAGAAGAAATGGGTCATATTACGGGATATGCCGTCATACCCTTTTCCAAAGCAAGTACAAATCGTTGTTGCGACAATGGCGCTACACAATTTCATCCGACGCCACCCTTCCAGATCGGATACGGAGTTTGCCATTGTAGAAGATGATTCAGTTCAAATCCCAC